TAACAAAGAGACTCTTCAGAGTGTGCCGGCTGGAACCACGTACCCACCTTCAAATTTGCCCGTGAGCCCCCCCTGTGGCACTAAAATATCCAACCTTAGAGTGAAGCCTTCATGTTGTGATTCAGCGCTTGTTCTGCATGTCGGCATGTCTGTGATGTCCCGAGCACTTGCCATGTACAGTTGAAAACAAGAANNCCTTCTGAACCCTACTTGTGGCTCCCTTAAAAGGGACCTTATTGAGAGGGTCTATATCCCCAAGGGTCCCTAATCCTGACTCGTACCTTGAGTCCCGAGATTGGTACCGGAACCCCGAAAGCTTCATGCTTTCACGATTACATCGAGCAGGACTCGATAGACAGACAGGTCAATGGCTGCGCGATGGATGCCCAAAAGTGTGTGTGCGAGTGTGTGTGTGTGTGTGTGCGTACGCACGCGTGAGCGTTGGGCATGTTCGCAATACCGCAATAGGAATGGACGGTTGCAGGTGGTTTAGTCTTGGTTTTTGTCGGTGCCTTTTTTTCGTGTGCTTGTGTGCGCACGTGCATGCTGTGGACTGTTTCTGGTTTCCCGAGCAAGCAAGCCAGCAGACACGCAGGCAAGCAGGGAGGGAGGCAGGCAGGCAAACAAGCAAGCAAGCAGGCCAGCAGGCCAGCTGGCCAACAGGTCAGCAGGCCAGCAGGCAAGCCCGGCTCAAAAGATCAACCATCACGCCTGGAGACGGAAATGGGATCAACCTCCATTTCCTGCTGAGGGAGCCGGGGTTAAGAAAAGGGATCAACAGCCATCGCCTCATGAGGGAGCGGAGTTGAGAAGATGGGACCAACCGCTATCGCATATTCGGGGACGGGTTGGACAGACGCCATTGCCTAATGAGGCTGTGGGGCAAAGAAATCACATCACAGTGCCATCGCCTAGTGGGGAGGCGGAGATCAACTGTGATCAGCCGTATCACCTGTTGAGGGAGCGGGTGTAAGAAATGAGATGTGATCAAGCGCATATCAAGCGCTATCGCCTAATGAGGTGGCTGGTGTAAGGAATAAATGGGATCAAGCGCCATTGCCAATCGCTCAAGGTTGCACCACTACCCTGGCAGCAATGCTTCCCCGCCTTGTCACTTGAGTTCAATCATATTTCAGGACACCATGACCAAAATGCTGGCTGGAGAAAACGCACAAACACGCATCACACAAAGCTACGTGTCCAAAAGGGCAAGAACGATGTGAATACCAGTATTTGGGTTATGTGCGCAGCATGAACCTCCTTTGTCCCTCGCCCCCTCTTCCGCCTTAATGCCCCGACCCCAGACCACAAACCCGCGCATTTGCAGCCCCCACTTCAGGCAAAGGAAAGCGCATGTGTGCAGGTTCCGTGTGTTGCTTTTCCATGTCTTGGATTTGAGCTGAAAGGCACCGCTGCGAGCGTGTGAGGAGGTGCGTGGTCACTTAGCATGGGGCGGCGGGAGCGGCGAGGGTTGGAGCAATTTTCGTGGGCATGGATGTGGTGTCCGGCAGGACCAGGCGGCGACGACAACTGCCGGGAGCACAACCTCTGAGCCGAGAACGACGTCCGCGGACGCGGAGCCTGAGTCGACTGCGCCGAGTACTGCGCCCGAAGAGCCAGCTACGAAACAACAGCTCCCGACCCATTTGCTCACGGCCATCCGAGACTTCAACAAGGCCAAGATTTTCTCGCTAAGTATTGGAGACAGGAAGCGTCATTCATCGCTTTAGGATGGTTCGTGAGGCGGATTTGCAAACCACGCAGCAGCCAGAGTCGGAGATCCTGAGCCGCAGATGAGTCATATGCGCCTTCAACACGTCAAGCATGTCCAAGCATCCAAGGAGTGGAGTGATTCCACCGACTGCGACAGGCCTAGACAGGGACTGGCACCATGCCTTGTACGTCAGTCCATGCACGGCGTGTGGGGCAGGTGAGGAGACCGTGCCCGTCCGGCAGTCCAAACAACAGCTCCCGACTCATTTGCTCACGGCCATCCGAGACTTCAACAAGGCCAAGGTTTTCTTGTTAAGTATGGAGGGTTATTTATGTTTACCCTTGTTTTTCATCTTTATTTTTTCGCCTCTCTGGTCGTCTGGTCCTCTGGTCCTCTGGTCCCGGGGCTCCGTCGTGACTCTGGTGTCCTCAACCATCCCATATAAACTGCTCACCAGGTTGGATACAGACACACTCGGGCCTGGGGCATCAGTTGGAAGGCGTTTAGATCACATCCATTGCATATACATGCATGCGAATGCATGCTTACATGCACATGCTGATGATGGCGATAAAGATGTACATGAAGATAACAATGACGGCGTCGAGGACGGTGGTAGTGAGATAATGCTGTCTCAAGCTAATCCGAGTCTTTTTGAAGCCCCGCCATTCACCACGCGAGCGGTGTGTGTGTGTGTGTGCAAATTTGGGGGGCCGGTGCCCCCCCAACCCCCCCCCCCGCTTGTGCAAGCTTGCTTGACAGCATATGAGTTTTTTTTGAAGCCATCCATGCGAGCATTGTGTTTGCAAATCTGCGCCCCCTCCCCCCCCCCAACCCCTTCGCTGTTTTGAGCCGTGTGCAAGCTTGCTCAACAGCCTCTGAGTCGTTTTTGACCCACCATGCATAAGAAGAGTCTTTATGAAACCTCGCCATTCACGATGGAGCAGTATGTTTGCAAACAGGGGACCCTTAAAACCACACTTTCAAACCCTCGAAAGCAAGCCTCAAAACCCTTTGGCAAACCCGCTGAACCTCTTCAAAACACTCCAAAACCGTTGAAAATCCCTTCAAACCCTCGAAAAGCGCATTCTAAAACATTCATAAAATCGTCGCACAGCCCGGTTCATACCATTAGAAAGCCTCTTAACACCCTCGAAAACCCATTTACAACCCTTAAAAAACCCTGTAAAACCGTCACCCGTTAAGTATTGGAGACAGGAAGCGTCATTCATCGCTTTAGGATGGTTCGTGAGGCGGATTTGCAAACCACGCAGCAGCCAGAGTCGGAGATCCTGAGCCGCAGATGAGTCATATGCGCCTTCAACACGTCAAGCATGTCCAAGCATCCAAGGAGTGGAGTGATTCCACCGACTGCGACAGGCCTAGACAGGGACTGGCACCATGCCTTGTACGTCAGTCCATGCACGGCGTGTGGGGCAGGTGAGGAGACCGTGCCCGTCCGGCAGTCTCCCGAGTCGTTTCCGGCTGAGCCGCGTTCAACCATCAGCGTTCAGTCGAAGAGGAGCAACAGGGACTCCCGGAGTTTCTTGGACGACATCAAGGCAGCTTTGTCTTCGGACTTCTCTGCCGGAGTGCATGTGGGCGCGCGGAGGCACAGCGCTTCGCGCTGAAGGCCGTGGAGACCACCACGCCCTTGTCAAAGCCTTACTCATGGAGGGCCAAGATTGGGAAAGAGCCGAGCCTCGCCTCTGTCCAGAGTGCTGCGTGCTCTGCTTCGCGGGGGGAGGGGAGGGGAGGGTGCTCCCAGGCCGTTCGCTTCGTTCGCTCTTCGCGGGGTTCGGCTCAGAGTGTTGGGGCAGTCTGAGGTCGACGACCGGTGAGGGCCTGATGGGAGCGCTCTCGGCTGGCCTGGCGAAGGTGAGAAAGGCGACGCACGGCGACGAGGAGGAGAGTTGCAGATGCCACAGAAAGGGGGGGGGCACTTCGATCAAACTTTTTGAGGCAGACAGAGTCTGCGGCTCAGGACGAAGATGAAGACGATGGCGAGTTCGACTGAGTGGAAGTGAAAAGACCGCCCGCCAGTGCTAGACAAAAAATCCGTCGGCGTCGTGGACGCCGGACTGCCCGCCCCGCGGATTAAAAAAACCGCCGTGGTGGCTTGGAGCTGAGGTCTGCGGCTGGCGGCAGCCTCAGGGGGCCACCGGGTCGCCACCCGGCGCGGTCGCGCGGGGCGCGCGAACGGGCGAGGTGCGAGGGGGTCCGGATGCGTTTTCCTACAACCTGGTCATCAAGAAGACGTGCGATGGTCTGGGGCTCTCGCTCACACGAGCACAGAGCGACAGCGGCACTTGAACGGCACACGCTGGAGGTTCGTCTTGGCAAGGTGCCCTCTGCCTACTCAAGGCCGGGACGGGAAGCCGCACAACACTAGCATCAGCGGTGACTTCTTGGTCTCAGCAGGAGATGGACGAACAGCAGCTGGTGGTTGACATGCTCACGTACCACATGGCTGGGACTATGCAAGCGAAGTAAAGCAAAGAAAGAGCCAGTGTGCTATGAATCGGGGCAGGTCATGACCGCTCAGATGAATGGCGTCGGACTCGAGCTTCCTTTGAATTTGGGACCTGTGCTGGCAAGTGCCGTGTGGCAGGTTTGCATTGGGCTGAGTGCCTGGCTACGTTGCAGGCTCTTGGCTCGGCAGTGCAGCTCCTGCAGTCCTACAGCCGACTGTTCAACGCCAACGATTGAAGGCTATGGAGGAAGCACAGGTAGACGACCCAGGCATGGAGTGGTAAGAAGTAAGCCATGCAGTGGCCGTGCAGTTGTGAAGGCATCCTCGCCTATGGGCCGGCAGTTTCTGGAGCTGGAACATCATCTTTGGCAACTAACGGAGCATAAGTCGTCAGCCAAGGTTGGCGCCTGTTTGAGAACTTTGCAGTGGGAACAGGCACTTCTCATCGGCGCTGTGCTGAGCTTCGCAATTCTGGTTTTCACGCGCGGAACATGGCTGACCCAAGCCTTCTGGCAGTCCAACGCCTGCGACAGCGCCGCCAATTGCCCGATTCGCCCGGTGACTTACCGGTCTGTTTCGTACTAATAATTTCCACAGCGCACATAGTGGCAAGGCGTTCCTATGTGTTCGCTGTACCCCGTCCAGTTTCTTTTGCAGGCTCTCGGCCATCTATTGGCCGTCAGAGTGAATTGAATTGTCCAAGGCCAATGATGAACTCCTGCATCACTGTGCCGACTTCTTGGCTACCTCACTGATTCCATGCCTTTCTTCCCCCCCCCCCCCCCCCCCCNNGGGCAGTGGCAGCTGGCACTGCAGATCTACTGGGACATGTGTCACTCGGCTGGGAGCTAGAAGACACTGACGCGGGTGAGCTGAGATGACATCTACGCCTGTTGTAAGGGCCAGGGGCGGCCCAGCTACGGAATGTAGCTGTTCGGCTGTGTAGTAAGAGTGGGCTCTCGCTTCGAAAAGGGAGAGTACGAGTTCCCTCGTTCCCTCCGCGCGCCAGTCGGGCTCTGAGCCTGCCGAGGCCTCTTCGGGCCACCTCCGGACGAGACGACGCCGGGCACCTGCAAGCCGCTCTCGTGTCCTTCAGTCTCCCACAGAGCAGCCCTGGCGACTCTAGGTGCAATGCCGCCCTTGCAGCCTGCGCAAGGACAGAGCCCTTCCCGAGTAGAAGAAGGGAGCTCCGAGGGCGGCGCCGCTGTGGCAGTCGCTGTGGCAGGGGCGCGCGCTGGCAGTGGGCCCTGGATCTCCTCCCCAGGCCGCTGGGAACGCAACGTGGGTGCGGGTGGGCAGCAGACTTCCTTTTTCCGGTGGATTTTGAGGTCCGAGTTCGAGAGGCCCGAGAGGCCCGAGGCCTTGGGATGCGTGCTGGAGGCGCTTCAGCTCTCAGCCAAATGGCACCAGGCCAGACCAGAGAAACGGACAGAGCAGAGACGCTATACTGACGCTTTCTCCTTGGAGAAATCGCTCACCCCAGAACGAGTCGTGTAATCGGAAAGTTCACGGTCACTTACTTTTTCGGGGGTGGGGCCAGCGCGCTGTGCACGATCCGCCACCTGCTCTTCTTCCGGGCACTCTCTTGGGACGTTGCTGCACGGCAAGGGCAGTGTGCCGTGCGGCTGCGCAACCAATGTGTTGCCGGCGCCTGGTCGCGGGTGAAGCATGTGGGATGAAGCTGCAACCTTGGAAGCCACGGGTGGGTCATGGCCATCTGAGACAATCCCTGCCCAGGTTGCCAGCTCAAGGGACGTATGAGTTAATCCTGTTCGGCTTCGAGGCAGGTGGCCAGCAAGAGCCGTAATTGGTTTGACAGGCCATGGAGCTCTGGGCTTTGCAGCCGTGCCTCGGCAAGTGAGACGGCGCCCGGGCTCCTTCCAAAGCACGGCCTTTCATGTTCCGAGCTCTGTAAGGAAGCCGAATGTGATCTGCACTTCATCAGTCTGCCCAAGCCCCAGGCGCTTGCAATGACTGAAGGAGAGAAGTGCATTCATTGTGCTATAACTCTCCAGTCGCAACGCCTCTCACACGCGAGCTGCTTGAGCATGCGCTACCAAGTGCTGGCCTGCTCCCGCGCCCAGCGCTGGCCACAGGTTGCTGCGCTCCAAGAGGCACGAGATGGAGCAAAGCAGCCGAAGATGGTTTTTGAGAGCAGAGTGCAGGACTCCGCCGGTGCCCTCATGGAGGCGAGAAAGGAGAAAGTTCTACAAGCAGCATCACTACCCGTCGCCAGGCATCTCAAGACCTGCATCGAGGCAGGAGTCAGGAGCATGGCTTCGCGTACTGGTATCTTCCGTCTCGCAGCAGAGGTGTCCTGGAACTTGCCCACGCTAACATCGTGGTGGCCTTGCTGGAGACGCGATGCGATGCTCTCAGCTGCTTCGATAGGGCTCTGCGGCTGGCATGCTGCCTGGCAGGACGCTTTGGAGTACAGGGATCGAGAGGCCAGGTGGCCAGAAGGGGACACGGACCCGCACTTTCCCGCACGTTCCCAGGCCGCCGCCTTCAGAAAGACCCTCTACGAGCCGGCCAAACGTCAACTTGTGCAGCTGTCCAGGCTCAGCGGGATTCTCAGTGCCTTGCAGTCATTTGCATTCTCAACCGCAGGGCTGCTGCTCTTCCAGAACTTATGGCGGGGGAGGCTGACTGTCCTTGTGTGGGTCTCACTCTCTCCCTCCGCGAACTATCTTGAGAGGGGTGTGTCCAAGCCAGGCAGTCCTCCGCTGCAAGCTGCTCGAACGGCAGTCCTCCCTAGGCACCTGCATAGCGGCAGGGAGTGGGAAGTTTGCAACGGCAATTCTCGGCTCTCGGCTATACTATCCAGTCAGCGCCGTCATTCGCAACCCATCCTCGTGGTTGCAGCTAGAACTGTGATTGATGCTGGCTTGCTCTGGAATTCGCCATAGCGGCTATGCCATGCAAAGCTTGCACAAAGGTTGATGCCGAACTCTTGAAGAACGCCAGTCCAGGTGACGTTACCCACGGAGACTCTTGTCCCTAACCGAGCCACTTTGTTGCCAGGCCGGTCCCACCGTTTAAACGCGACGACAGCACGGAAACTGCAGGGTCCTCTGCAGACGCACGGGGCTCGCATGGCTCCCAAAAGGAGGCTAGGTCCGGCTAGGTTCTGCAGCTGCGCCTAGGATTGACATGTTGGGACACGCCGCGACTTTCGGCCAATCTTTGTCACGTCGAGTCTGGGCTTCGCCACTCGGACCACGGCGAGCGCGCGGCGAGCGCGGCCGCCTTTTCTCGGAAGTTCAGGGGGCCTCTGCCTACCGCTCTACCGCTCTCTGTCTGCGGATGCGGCCAGGGGGCGCTATGCCACGAGCGAAGCTTGGAAAGGGTCTGTGGCAACGCAGCATGTGCTCGGCTGGTGGCTCGCTTTGAGCATGTGCAGAGTCCCACCCTTTCGTGGAAGCGTTCTCGAACATTCCCGCTTGGACAGCCTGGGGTTGTGCTCCTGTGACTGTTCATAGAAGGGTACCTTCTGAGGTTTCCTTGCCAGCCAGGACGCTTCTTCGTACACCGCTTCTGCTCGGAGCGGTTCGGCAGCCCGAGTAAGGTGGAACATTGTGGAACATCGAAGGGGCTTCTGCTCTGTCTTGGAGTGGCAGGCAGTGCAGGCCAAAGCAGCCAAAGCCTCCAGAAGGGCGATGGCTCAGGTGCTGTGCAAGATCTTCCGAGAGAAGCAGCTTGCCCGGCCGCTTGCCTGTCAGGCAGGAGGAATCTGGGATGAGAGACCGGTGGCAAAGCACATCCTGGCCTGGGTTGAGCCAGATCCTCGGGATGTGTCCATTCGGAGATCTCATCACCGTCTAACGCACAGTCTAACAGTCTAACGCATCCCACCTTTTGTGTAGCACTGCCTGCTCCACCACGCCAAAGGCGCAGCTAGGGAATCTACCTCAAATGAAATTGAGGCCTTCCCAAATGCGGCTAGCGAGCCACCTCGTTGCGATGGCAGTAAATATTCGCCTGAGATTCGGGGTACGTGTGGGATGTAGGCCTGTTGAATGGCATGGAGCTCTGATCACTGGCAGGTGCAGGCTTCCTTGGCTTAGCGGCAGCGAGCTCGAACTCCTGTCGGTGCTCATCGCTTGGCTCTTGGCAGCTCTTGGCAGCGGCAGCTCGTTCAAAGGGGCTCGGCTCGGCGGACATCGCGTTGATCACGAGATCCGAAGCCGATCCGAGCTTCTCCCGCTTCATGCCCGCTTCCTAACTGAGAGCGCGCCCTTTCGCTAGCATGGCTCGCTCTCTCTTCGAAGGTCTGCACGGTTTGATGGCCCCCACGCCTTGAGATCCCACGAGGTGGAACATTCGCGGGCTCCACATGCCGAGCGCCAGGACCGGTCGGGTTGAAGAAGTTGGTTCTGTACTTGATTGCCCTCGGGGTCGCTTGGAGGTGCTCCGCGACATCTTGCAAAGATACATGGCGGTCCAAAAGTGCTTGGCCAGCTCTGCATCATGTTGAGATGTTGAGACTCTTCATGACTCTTCACTCTTCCATGCCGAGACAGCCTCTTTTGACCTCAGTCCAGTCCAAGTGGGCATCGCTTTCACCCATGCCGCGGAAACTGCTTGGGGATGGGCGACGCGGACGCGGAGGCCGCGGAGGCCGCGGAGTCCGCGGAGTGGCTGCTGCTGCTCCAGCGCTCCTTCGCCGGAGCTCGCCGAGGCCTCCTCGGCCCGAGGACCTGGAAGCAGGCGCTTTTCCCGTCGTGTCTTCTCTTCTCATCTCCTCATCAAAGCCCTTTGAGGTGATCCCCGTGGTGGGCCGTCGCTACCCCGACGAGATCTTCAGCGCCCTGCGCGGAGCAGGCTGCCTGGCCGGCAAGCCCGGGAAGCCCGGCAAGATCGCGGCGGACGTGGCCGCCGTGGATGCTTCTCCAGATCCCGCGTCGCAGCTCCTAGAACTCCGATGCTGCCTCCCTGTAGCGGAGCGTGGTGCCTTGGCCTGAGAGCCTTGCAAGACCACATCGCACTTTGGTTTGGGGTGCACGCGACTTCGGGCACAACATGAGGAGAGTCACACCCCCTAAAATATCGTGGCGCGCGATTTCGGGAGGCGGACACGAGGACTGCTGGATGCTTTTTTGTGCTTTTTTCCTGCCTTGTTTGTTGGTTTGTTCCTGCCTTTTGTCCTACCTTCTGTTGGCGCTCCCTCAACACACATCATCACGATACCCAGAACTGGCGTGAGCCACACCATCGGATTTTAATAATTAATGGATGCTGTAGTGAAAACTTTATTGAAAATTCGAATTTTCTGAAAGATTCAGATTCTGACCAATCATTGGTAACACCCAATAAATACTTAAGATACCTATAGTACCCGAATAACTGGAAAGCGCAACCCCA